AGGAAATATGTGAAGGGACACACATCAGACTGAGGAAATACATCAGGGGATACAAATCAGACTGAAGAAATACATGGGGAAACACACCTCAGACTGAGATAATACATGGAGGGACACACATCAGACTGAGGAAATACATCAAGGGACACATATCTGACTGAGGAAATATATAAGGGGACACACATCAAACTGATGAAACACATGAGGGGTCACACATCACAGATATAGAGGACATTTACAGAGATAGAGGACATTTACAGAGACAGTGGACATTTACAGATATAGAGGTCATTTACAGAGATAGAGAACATTTACAGAGATAGAGGGCATTTACAGAGTTGGTGGACATTTACAGAGATAAAGGACATTTACAGATATAAAGGACATTTGCAGAGATGGTGGACATTTACAGAGATAGAGAACATTTACTGATATAGAGGTCATTTACAGAGACAGAGGACATTTACAGAGATAGAGGACATTTGCAGCGATGGTGGACATTTACAGAGATAGAGAACATTTACAGAGACAGAGATAGAGGACATTTACAGATATAAGGACATTAACAGATATAGAGGACATTTACAGATATATAGGGCATTTACAGAGGTAGAGGGCATTTACAGATATAGAGAACATTTGCAGCGATCGTGGACATTTACAGAGATAGAGAACATTTACAGAGACAGAGATAGAGGACATTTACAGATATAAGGACATTTACAGATATAGAGGACATTTACAGATATAGAGGGCATTTACAGAGATAGAGGGCATTTACAGATATAGAGAACATTTACAGAGAAAGAGGACATTTACAGAGACAGAGGACATTTACAGAGATAGAGAACATTTACAGATATAGAGAAGATTTAAAGATATAGAGAACATTTACAGTGATAAAGGACATTTACAGAGATAGAGGACATTTACAGATATAGAAAACATTTACAGAAATAGAGGACATCTATAGAGATAGAGGACATTTACAGAGATAGAGGACATTTACAGATATAGAGGACATTTACAGAGATAGAGGACATTTACAGATATAGAGGATATTCACAGATATAGAGGATATTTACAGATATAGAGGACATTTACAGATATAGAGGACATTTACTATGGACTTTTGCAATCTTTACTCTTATTACTTTCCAGTTTTTAACTTTGGAACTTGCAAAGTTTGAATCTGGACAAGTTTACATAATATCAAAGAACTCAGCTAAATTTTTAATGCATTTAAAAACATCTTTTATATACAAAGTTCCATCCAAATGTCTGATGTATATGATGTTTACATGATTGATTACAATTTTTTATCAGAGAGAATATTTATGAGAAATTAAAATTTTGACCAGCCCAGGACACTTTGCCAGTTTAAAATCACCAATGTACAATCATATATACACAGGCTAATGATCAGCAGTATTCACATATAACACTAACCCTATTACACAAATCTTGTTACAATAATCCTGTTTTACCCAACTATTAACTGATCATATTTAATTTCTTTGGCTATCTGAACCTGCTCCAGATGAAAAGAAATAAAATATCTAAAACTGTTCATGATGAAGGAGAACAGTTGCCTTTCTCTTAAACCTTTGACCTTCATCTTCCAATGATGTATATAAGATCTTACTTTCTGGCCCACTGCCCTGCCCTCACAGCCCCAGACCCATGGATCAGAATCATCAGTCGTTTGGCAGTCATCACATCATCGGACATAAAGAAAAAGGTCTTCGGCTCATTTTCTTCAGCATCTTTCTGAAATAATATTAAAGTGAAATACTAAGAAACTGTACTTTTTGCAAAAACTAAACTTGACTTTTTGTCCTTATAATAATAATAATAACTAAAATTGTTGGCTAACAATTTGACAGGCTTTTCACTGTAAGGACTGATTTGGCCTTCTAATAATAACTTGTGCAAGTCTACAGTAGCTGACTGAGTAGTGGGGGATTCCCAGAGTGCGCAAAGACATCAGCTGAGAAAGAATGGATAAATATAGGCAGCCAATGGGCTTAGTTGTATACGTAGGTAGTCCGTAAAAGTCATATAGTCCGTCAATTATGTACATGAGGATGATCACTTTGTCTATATTGGTTGGGTTTGCCATGCCAAAGAAAGGCTAATGTTTACCCACCGCAGTAGAGATGTAAACTATCCATACTTTTAAGAGCGTGCGTAGTAATTGATGTAGTATTACCAGTGTGTATTAGATGTCTTAATATAAATCAAAGTACTGAGAGTCTGAGAACACTTCAAAATCGCACAAAAATGAAAACGGTTTATGACTTTCACTTTTGAAATCATATTTAGAGTAGGTCAAGGTCATTCATTTGCACACACTTTAAAGCCCTTCATTCAAGCATGCTTCTTGCCAAACCTCGTTACCCTGGAATTATCCCAGCAAGCACACAACGTTTATTCAACGTTGAAATGAAGTTGTAATTTGGTCGTGACGTTGATAAACGTTGAATCAACGTTGATTCAACGTTGATTCAACGTTATTTTTCCAACATTGAAACGTTGTTGTAATATGACGACTAAACAACGTTGATTAATTTGATTTTTATCAAACTTATTGACATAACTGAATCTCAACGTTGAATCAACGTCGATTCAACGACCTGTTTTCAATTGTTAATGATATCCTATATTTTATATTTGGTTACTATATATAGAAACATCACGATTTTCATTGTCATATGTAAAAACAAGAGGCCCAATGGGCCTGCATCGCTCACCTGGTATAAATATCACACTTGTAACCTTAAAAGTGAAGCTATACAGGCAAAATATCAGTATTTATGATTAAAATTCATTCAAAAGACCCTGTTAATTTTTTTTAAAACATTTCACCCCTGTGATTGAAAGTCGAACAAATTTCATAGCCTTTCATCTCAGGATGCAACTTGCAAAGTATCAACATCCTGGGACCCATGGTTATTCAGAAGACCCCTGTGAACTTGAATATAAGTCAAAGTCAGTCACTTTAACAAACATAGTAGTCCTTGATTCCAGCATGCTACTGACTATAAATATCAACATCCTGAGCCTTTTGGTTATTCAATACAAATTGTTAAAATATTTTGAACAAATTTGCTCCTTGTGACCTTGAATATGATTCAAGGTCATATATTTAAACAACTTGGTAGCCCTTCATCTCAACATGCTATTGGCCAAATATCATCACCCAGGACATTTTGGTTATTGAGAAGAAGTTGTTTAAAGTTTTTAACATATTTGACCCCTGTGACCTTGAATATGGGTGAAAGTAATTCATTTGAACCATATTTGTAGCCCTTCATCTCAGCATGCTATTGTCCAAATATCATCACCCTGGACATTTTGGTTATTGAGAAGAAATTGTTTAATGATTTTAACAAATTTGACCCCTGTCACCTTGAATATGGGTGAAGGTCATTTATTTGAACAAACTTTGTAGCCCTTCATCTCAGCATGCTACTGGCCAAATATCATCACCCTGTGCATTTTGGTTATTCAGAAGAAATTGTTTAAAGGTTTTTTTTAAACAATTGACCCCTGTGACCTTGAATTTAATTGAATGTCATTCATTTGAACAAACTTGGTAGCCCTTCACCCAAGCATGCTACTTGTCAAATATCATCACCTTGGGCAGTTTGGTTATTGAGAAGAAGTTGTTTAAAGTTTTTAACAAATTTGACCCCTGTGACCTTGAATATAGGTGAAGGTCATTCATTTGAACAAACTTTGTAGCCCTTCATCTCAGCATGCTATTGGCCAAATATCATCACCCTGGGCATTTTGGTTATTCAGAAGAAGTTGTTTAAAGTTTTTAACATATTTGACCCCTGTGACCTTGAAAATGGGTTTAGGTCATTCATTTTAACAAACTTTGTAGCCCTTCATCTCAGCATGCTAGTCCAAATATCATCACCCTGGACATTTTGGTTATTGAGAAGAAATTGTTTAAAGATTTTAACATATTTGACCCCTGTGACCTTGAATATGGGTGAAGGTCATTCATTTGAGTAAATTTTGTAGCCCCTCATCTCAGCATGCTACTGGCCAAATATCATCACCCTGTGCATTTTGGTTATTCAGAAGAAATTGTTTTAAGGTTTTTTTTAAACAATTGACCCCTGTGACCTTGAATTTAATTGAATGTCATTCATTTGAACAAACTTGGTAGCCCTTCACCCAAGCATGCTACTTGTCAAATATATTCACCTTGGGCAGTTTGGTTATTTAGAAGAAGTTGTTTAAAGTTTTTAAAAAATTTGACCCCTGTGACCTTGAATATAGGTGAAGGTCATTCATTTGAACAAACTTTGTAGCCCTTCATCTCAGCATGCTATTGGCCAAATATCATCACCCTGGGCATTTTGGTTATTCAGAAGAAGTTGTTTAAAGTTTTTAAAAAATTTGCCCCCTGTGACCTTGAATATAGGTGAAGGTCATTCATTTCAACAAACTTTGTAGCCCTTCATCTCAGCATGCTAGTCCAAATATCATCACCCTGGACATTTTGGGTATTCAGAAGAAATTGTTTAAAGATTTTAACATATTTGACCCCTGTGACCTTGAATATGGGTGAAGGTCATTCATTTGAATAAATTTTGTAGCCCTTCACCCAAGCATGCTACTGGCTAAATATCATCTCCTTAGGCAGTTTGGTCATTGAGATGAAGATGTTTAAAGTTTTTAACATATTTGACCCCTGTGACCTTGAAAATAGGTTTAGGTCATTAATTTTAACAAACTTTGTAGCCCTTCATCCCAGTTTGCTTCTGGCCAAATATCAAGCATGGTATGGAAAAAAAAATGGCCAAAGATATTGAGTTGTACAATGCAATAAAAAAATCACAAACGTTTCTCATTTTTATACGCGTGTAGTTTGTCATTGCATATATGCACTTTATGAAAACATTTGAAAAGGGATATTCGTCTCGTGAATACTCTTTTTTACACAAAGGTTTGTCCTATGGTTGAAGAAAGGTGTTAGCCCCGTACAGATGTCACATTCCGGTACTAAATTCAATATATATTTAGTTATATATACTTTATATTTATGCCTATTATCATTGCTGACATTTAATTGTAAATTTATGAAGGGAGAAGGCTGTGATAAATTGTAACAAGAGGCCCAAGAGGGCCTGTATCACTCACCTGAATATTTAAGCAGTCATAGCAAAATATTCTCATTAAATATTATATTGCACTTAAAAAATTTCCCTCGCAAACAGTGTTGGCTCCATCTGTTGAAACTACCAGCAAAATATTATTATAAGATTCTATGCTTTTTTATTTTTCTTCAGAAGTTGCTTGACATATTTTTACCTGTGACCTTGTAAAAGCGGTAAGTTAATGTCATTTTCCTTCTCAAATTGGTTAGCTCTATTCCAAAATGCTACCAGCCAAATCTTATGAATCCATTCCTTTTAGTCCTTGAGAACAAAAATCCTTTAAAATGTTGTTGACCTCTGTGACCTCTAAAGTAGGTTGAGGTCATTTTCATTCGCAAACTTTGGTGAGCTCTATCCAAGGAAGTCACCAGCCAAATATTATAATTTTATGAATTTTAATTCTTCAGAAGAAGTAGTTTGAACCATTTGACATATTTGAACGCTGTGACCTTGAAAGCGAGTCAAGGTTATTTTCATTCGCAAACTTTGTTTGGCTTTTTCCCCAGGAAATAACCAGCCAAATATTAAGGTTCTATACCTTCCAGTTCTTCAGAAGAAGTTGTTACCCAGGGGTAAACGTGACACCCCAGGGTCATAAAATTCACAATTTTGGTAGAGCACCTGAGGACCCTTCCATCTATGAAGAGTGTTTGATTCTACCATATCTGGGTCTTGAGAAGAAGATTTTTGAAATTTCAGTCAATTCAACACTTTTTCGCCCCACCCATCAGCCCCGGGGGGTCAGTCAGGGCTGATATGTGCATACCATCAAACTGCTATCCAATACTGATAATGTTAACCCAAATTGAATTACTTCCAATGACAAGAGGCCCAAGAGGACCTGTATCGCTCACCTGAATTCTCATTAAATATCATATTGCACTAAAAATATTTCCCTCGCAAACTTTGTTGGCTCCATCTGTTGAAACTACCAGCAAAATATTATTACAAGATTCTATGCTTTTTGATTCTTCAGAAGTTGCTTGACATATTTTTCCCTTTGACATTGTAAGTAGGTCAATGTCATTTTCCTTCTCAAATTGGTAAGCTCTATTCCAAAAGCTACCAGCCAAATCTTATGAATCCATTCCTTTAAATTCTTAAGAACAAATCCATTAAAATGTTGTTGACCTCTGTGACCTTGAAAGTAGGTCAAGGTCACTTTCATTCGCAAACTTTGTTGGGCTCTTTCCCAGGAAATAACCAGCCGAATAATAAGGTTCTATAACTTCCAGTTCTTCAGAAGAAGTAATTTGAAGTGTTTGACATATCTGCCTCAGGTGACCTTAAAAGTAGGTCAAGGTCATTTTCATTCTAAAAGTTTGTTGGGCTCTTTCCTAGGAAGCTACAAGCCAAATATAAAGATTCTATACCTTTCAGTTGTTCAGAAGAAGTCATTTGAAGTGTCTGACACATTTGACCCCTGTGACCTTGAAAGAAGGTCAAGGTCATTTTCTTCCTCAAACTTTGTCGGGGTCTCTATCCCAGGAAGCCATCAATCAAATATAAAGATTCTATACCTTTCAGTTCTTCTTCAGAAGTCATTTGAAGCTTTTGACACATTTGACCCCTGTGACCTTGAAAGTAGGTCAA